AAAAAAAGGCAGATGGCCCGCTTTGCAGACGGCAGTGCAGCCATCCGGACAACTTGGGCACTGGCTTATTGAAATGAACGGCGCGACTCGCGGGCGCCGCCTCGCCCGCCTCGCCTGCCGCCGCCTCCCGCAGCTGCGGCAGCGGCGCGAGCAGCAGCGCGCGCGCCGCGAGCAGCAGCGCGGGCGAGCGGAGCATCACGTAGACATCCTCACCGTCGGCCTGCAGCGCGGCCAACGCCGGTGCGCCGTTTTCGGCCAGCGAATGGGCCGGCCACAGCCGTGTGCTCGTCCAGTTGAGCTGCACAAATCGGCAGAGCGCGGAGGCGCCGATCCACGTCACCGCGGCTGCCGCTGCCGCGGTCGGGTGTGAGCGCAGGTGAGCACGCACGCGTGAGGCACACGCATCGACGTCGAGCGCCTGCTTCTCGTCCACCTCTCCCAGCAGCGAGTGAGCGAGCGGCTCGCGCAGCACGCAGTCGAACGCGCCGCGAGCCATGAGGTGCCAGAGGCGGCGCACGTCCGACGGCGCGTCCGAGGAGCAGGCGACGTCGGACTCGCCGAGCAGCGCGAGCGCGGAGAGGCGATCGAGGCCGTCGAGGCCAACTTGGCTGGGCGAGTCTGGCATGTCGTCAGGGTGGCAACGTCGACGCCGCGCTGTCCGGGCGGCCGATTTTTTTTTTCCACACTGGTTCGCGACACAAGATCGAGATAGAGGGTGAGTAGGCTGGTTAAAATCCTGCGCATGCGAGGCACTGGTAGGGCCTAAAACTCTGCACTGAAAGAAAGAAATAAAACAGACAAATCAAGGGAGGGATGGGAGGACGGCACGCCGCCACCACACAGGAAAAAAAATGGGTCGTGCGGGCCTCAAAATTCTTCTTTCGTTGCCCCTGCGCTCGCCTGCTGGGGACGGCCTCATGAGCGACAACGAGAGAGCGATCCAGCTCTTCACGACGGCGCTGGCGTCTACGAAGGGCGATGAGCGCCGAGCGCAGATCCTGCACCAGCGCTCGGCGGCGCACGCGCGGCAGGGCGCCTGGGAGGCCTCGCTCCGCGATGCGCAGCAGGCGGTCGAGCTCCGGCCGGACTGGGCCAAGGCGAGGTGCCGCGCGGGCGCCGCGCACTACGGGTTGGACCAGCTCGACGCGGCCGCCGCAGCCTACGAGGAGGCGCTGCGGCTGTGCGATAGCGGCGACGCGGAGCTGGCAGACGGCGCGCGGGCGGCGCTGAACGACGTGCGGGCGAAGCAGGCGCGACTTGCCACCGACGCACAGCTGTCGCCGCACGTGCTCGGCTTTGCGCAGAGCAAGACGGCCGGCGCGAAGCTGCTCGCACAGGGCAGGTACGCGGAGGCGGAGCAGGAGTACGAGGGCGCTTTGCGGGCCATGCGCGCTGCCTTGCAGGAGCTGCCTGCGGAGGCGAGTGGCGGCATGAGGGCCACCATGGAGGCGCTCGAGCGAGGGATGCGAGAGGAGCTTGCCGCCGCGAAGAAGCGCGCGGCCGGGAGCGAGTGACAGTTGTGGAAGAGGTCACGTTAGTACGACTTCTGTCTTCTCTCTATCAAGATTCAAGTGTCAGAATGACGAGACTCAGTCGCCCCAAAAGTTTTTGGCTTTTGCGGAAGTGACTAGAAGATAAAATATTCTTAGCTTCAAGCCCCCCTCCCCCTGGACGCTGGAGACACCCACACACCAGTAACAGACCGGTGGGACTGCCCCCCCGCGCCCCCACACTTGCCCTGACGACAAGAGGAGCCTGACTGTGCACAGGATTGGCGATTGCGTGCCCCGAAGACGGCGACACATAGCGGGGGACACCACGCAAGGAGAGGGTGCGAAGGCAAGATTGGGGTGCTAGGTGGTGGGACCAATGAGGGGGGAGGGCGGGGGGTCCTGTGGGGGTGAAATGTTGCGCGGCGAATTCGAGCCTACCCCCTCGTCGCCGCGCCGCGATCCTCACGCGGAGGGTAAAAACCCTGTGGGAGAAACCCCCCCTGCGGAAGTGACTAGAAGTGCTACCGTACCCCGCTTGCACATCGGATCCATCCCGAGTCTTCCTGGGCGTGCCCATGCACGGGTTTTGGTTTCCTCTCGCATGTCGCAACCTCATCTGTCATCGCTCTGGCGTGGTCTGTGCCGTGACCCGTGTGTCCGAGATGTGTGTCCTGTCCGTGCAGTGTGTGTGGCCCAGAAAGTGTGGTGTGCCCCGCGGCCGGGCCGGCCCCCCGCCGGCGGCGGCGCCGCCCCCCCCCGCGAGCGGTGATCAGACATTAGAGATCTCCGGCGGTGTCTGCAGTCTCCGCGCCACCGCGGAAGGTGACCGAGCACACGCGGACGCCGAGACGCGAGAGCCGAGAGGGGTCTCTCCTGGTCTCTCACGTCTCCGCGCCCCCCCCCGCGGCGGCCGGCGCGGCGAGCTTGGCCTCTTGGCTCTTGCGTCTTGGCCCTGGCGCCGGCCCCCGCCTTTGGTCGTCACCATTAAAGGTTTAAGATATGACTCGCTGCGACACGCTCCCTCTGTCTCACACACTGCATGCTGCATGGGACAGTGTGGCCGCGGTGACGGCATGTGACTACTCACCCACCGCACACACGGCAAAAAGTGTCAGTTCACACATCGAGATGCACACATCTGCTGCCCCAGCCCGGCGCCCTGCCCGAGTGAGTCCCACTGCGCATCAGCCACTCCCGCTCGCCGCCGCGCCCTCCCCGATCCGCCTCGCTCGCCGCAGGAGCAAGCCGAAGGCTGCGGCCCACAGCACGACCGCCCAGATGGACCACAGCACCGCGATCCAGATGGTGAGGTGCAGGCCGCGCACGTCCTCGGGAGAGGCGGCGCACTGAGGGTTGAGGTGGCCGAGGTCCGCGCCTATGCGGAAGGGGCAGAGCTCCGGCGAGGCGGTCTCCTGCCCGAGCAAGGGACGCCTCGATGCGGCGCGGGTGTGCGCCGCCGCAAGCCGGCCACACCTCGGCCACACCTCGGCCACACCTCGGCTCTCTCTGGGCGGTCTCTGGGCGGTCTCTGGGCGGTCTCTGGGCGGTCTCTCGCCGCCGCAGCCCGAGGCGGTGTCGTTCCCAAAGACAATGCCGCAGTGCGGTGCGAGCGAGTCCTTGACGGCGCCTGGCGTGGGCGGGCGGGCGAGGCGACGTGTGTGAGGGGCGGCAGGGCGGTGGCGGCCTCGGTGCGGGGCTGCCGCGCCGATGATGACGGGCGACGGCACGTCCCCAAAAAGGTGGAGGCCTGTGGGAGGAGAGGAAGAGGACTGGTGGCGGTGGTGGTGGTGCAGTGGTGGCACATGTCCCCGAGGGGGTCGGGACTAGACCGAGGGTCTGGAGCGCGAGGGCGAAGGGGCGCGTCTGCATCGGCACGGTGAGCATGATGACGCGGCTGAGGCCGGCCGAGGTGCCGTAGATGAAGAAGACGGCGAGCGACATCAGAACGAGGAAGAGGGTCACCTGCCGAGATCGGGCCAGATCAGCCGAGGCGGGGCTCACGCCGCGCCGTGACGAGGAGGAGGCGTCACCAGCTCGGGCGTCGCCGCCACCGCCGCGGCCGCCGCCATGCACAAGAGGCCGCACAGCATCAGCAGGCAGATGACGCCGCTCACAAGGGCCGCCTCGCGCGCCGCCGCGTGCTGTGCGCTGTGCGGCGTGCCGGCTCGCCTTCGTGAGAATAGAGGCGATGATGCTGGTGCTAGTGACG